ATTTTCCCTCTGATATTTTTCGTGCAATGAAATCTATAACACATAACAGTCACATGTGTCAATCATATTGTATGATTGTGTCTAAAAATAACATGTGGGCGTCCCACGGTTTAGATAGGTTTTGTGTCAGGCCCTATTTCAAATTAGGGCCTGAACTTCAGGTTAGGGGAGATGCGACTAATTCCGCACGGGGAAAGGAAAGCATTATAAAGTTCATCAATAATCATGGGGGCATGGCTATGGTTCACCGTTCAAAGTGTTGGTGGTCATCCTCACTGATCTCAAAAATATGGCGGACTACCGTGAATATAGCGAACACTGATTTGTCAAATTTAAAATTGGCATTTTAACGGCTGCATGACGACAGCGAAATAACAAACATTTCGTGCAAATATACAGTTCATTTTTGCAAAATTTTTTAAATTTCAAAAGCTTTTTGAGAATGAAAAGCCAAAAACATATATGTTTTTGAAAAATTGATAATTGAGTAATTAATAAAGTGATATTTTGGGGGGATTTTTCAACAATTACAAATATTTCAAATAGTCCATGTTCGGAAATTATTTTACCATGCCGCAAGCTTATCAGCCCCTGTATAATTGGCAATTTTTCTTTAAAAAGCGGACTATGGGCGCTCATATAATATAATAATGTTAAATGAAATGAATTAGTCAGCCTGCATGGTATGCCACCCGTAAGATTTTAATTAAACAAGAATATTTTTTCAGTGTTCCCAGATAGTAAGCTTTCTGAGTTTTTGCGATTTTTATCGCCCCAAGTTGTTGATCATGGAAAACGTCAGGAATTTCCTTTCGCACGAGAACAGCGTAGTCTTGAAGCTGACACTCAGAAGTTTGATAAAACTGGGTTACCAGGTAATGATAAAGTACATTATAACTGTTAGCACATACGAGAGCCAAAAAACATATTTCTTGTTTGGATTTAGTGCACGTTTGGTGTTCTCCAGTGTGGGAATTATGGTATCCCACAAAGCAGGCATCGTGCTTTCGTGATTGGTGCAGCAGCAGGACAAACTTTGGCAAAGTTTCCAGAACCCACGCATTGTTTTGCTTCGCGCCTCTCCGTCACTGTCGACAATAAAAAGGTATGTACGTTACTCTTGATTGGCTTGATTTTTAAATTGGGTCCTACTCATAAAAATAATAAAAAGAGAATGCGTACTTGGTCATAATCATATCCCGCTTTTCTTCATGTGTGCTCTTATGAATCGGCCATATCGAATTTGACTAGGTGCGAAAACTCCAAAGTATAGAAAGCTAAGACTAAGTTTTCATTGCTCAAAAGTTTTGTCTTGCTGTCCAATTTACAGTTTGAGTAAAAGTTTTAAAACAAGTCTTGGAAAGAACAACGACAAATGTGATTGCTATATTTGTACAGTTTGTACAGTGAAAAGTATGGCCTAAACATGATTTATTCTCCAAACATTTTTGCATACTTCATTATAAAATTATGAAATGAGTGTTTTTTTTCTTCCTTCACTTTAGCCGTATTTTATACAGTCTTTTATATTATGCCTATTATATGAATTATGTTTTCTTCCATAAAAAAAACTTTATGTCATATTTTACATAGTTTATTTGATTGTATTTGCAAGATTGTTCTGTGCATAAGAGCACATGACAGCATGAGATATTGTACATTCTTCACTAAGCATTGCGCCATTGATATCGTATGGAAACTTTCGATCCGTTGCTCCAAAATTACCACCAGTGTTAAGAAGTGGTGCTTCATTTAAGCTATAGTATAATGATCACACTTGAACACGTATAGCTAGCTATATGATTGATCAGAACAATCATGCGACATTAGTGGCGTGTTCATAATCTTTGAACACTGTGTATTTTGTCTCTTTCGAATTCATATTTCATACAGTAAAGTTACTTGTTTGTTGGACACATAATTAATAAATATGATTACTTAAAACTGATTACAATATACGATCATTATCATATAATCTCGAATCCAAGATATTCGCCAAGTAAACAGGCGCGCAACTTATCAACTACTAAGCTTGAAATCTGTGCTTCCATTAAGCTTTGCGCGCTTAGAGTTTAAGGCTTTTCAAAGGACAATCTTTTTTGAATTGGCTGTATATGCCAGAACCAAAAGGCAAGAATTTTTCAAATTTGGAAAATGAAACTATCTAAAATATGTCTTATAAATTCATTGACAACTTTGCTTGTACTATTGTCATGCACTTGTAACATAGAATATACGTGATGAGATTTTGAGACGGTTCACATGAATTAATAGACTTAATAAATATGTAATAATATTTGTTTCCATTTATCTTTATTTAGTATGTTACTAATGCTGTGCATAAAAATGCACCATACAGGTCTTTGACTGTTCGTGATGCAATAGGAGATCTTCCATCATTGGCCAATAACAGAAACGTAAGTTTACAGTATAGCTAGGACACATATTTTTTCCTATTTGCATTCTGAAGCGCGAATTTCGTCAGCATATATTGTTACATCAACTGGTTAAACATGTTTTTTTCAGTGTTGAATAAAAATAACAATAATAGACGCTTCACAACCAAATAGATTATAAAATAGAGGGAGGAAATAGCCGGACAAATTGACTAAAACAAAACGCAGACAATTAGATGTATGGATGGTGATTACCGCCAAAATTAATGTTTGAATTTTGCCTTCCAAGTTCTTGATATTGTTGTTCGTTCCGTGCTTTAAGATATCAATGAATTGAATTTTGATATTCAAAAATTGAATTTTGATGTTCGCAATTGCATTTGCACTTCTGTTTGCGCATTCTGTCCTTAAGCATTCCATTGTGATGACATAACATTATGCGTGACCCTCAGAACACAATTTTCAACTCCTATTTAATGATAATTTATTGCATTTAATTGTCCCAATTTTCGTCGATTTCTACGAAAACAGCAAAGCAAAGCTGGTCCGAGTCCATATATGTCCACATTACAAACAATCTACAAAATATATTTAACAGTTATTTACCAAGTGGGGGTGAATAGTGTAAGGATATTGGTATCTTTCAGCTGAGGTATATAACTGTTTTAACATATACCTAAATAAAGGCGTATAACTGTTTTAACATATACCTAAATAAAAACGCGTGCAATGCACGTGAACACACATGACAAGATCAGGTAACAACCTGATTAAACAAACAACATGTTCAAGTTGTGATGCGGTTAATGTTCAACAAATTTGTTGAAAAAGGAAAATATTGTAAATGTTCCGATCATTCTCGGCAGTAAAAAGCTTTAATGAGTATTGGTGCTGTTCGACGGGAAATACGTTATGTCAATAGTTTTGGGTTTCTTGGGACAGCCTGTAGATTTTGAGAAATTTCAGCTAATTGTCTTTTGTCTTTAATGTAGCCTGAAAACAGACCTACGCTTAGCCCGCCCTAAAGGGCGAAACGCAAACAAAATCATCCCCTTCCGCCCACTTTCCGTTCTGATGATGATTGACACATTTACATATAACACCTAAAAGTACAATGAAAGTTGTCGATTCACTTTATTGAAAGTTTGTAAACAAAGTAAGAGTCGATAAGTACAGATGTTTGAATACATATTAAAAATATTGGTAACTCCATGCAGTATGTTGCTAATTGTATATACTATTAGCAAACAGTTACAGCTAGTATAAATAATACAACATTTTCAACACATTCTATAAATGCAATAAAATCTGCCTACGCAAATTTGCCAATGGCCATGTCCCATTTTTGAAATGCATCCAAACTATTACAATTCCTACATTTTGAAACCACCATACAATGTTAAAATCTAAATAAAATATTTTGCACGTACTATGTTATCCGCCGCTCTAGGCTAGTTTGGCTAACTGAGATAAAGCTTGTCACAAATATATTTACTTCGCATCGGAAATGGACATGAATTATCTTCAAGACAACTTTATAGAACTGATGTATTCGGAATATTACTTTCAAAGTTTAAGCCGCGGCCAATATATTTTGATGTCAATATCTTAGTTAGACCGTTTTATACGTCGAATGCAAGTAAGACAATAGATAATGAGATGACAAACCTCATTAAGCTTCATTATCTATTGTTTGAAATTCGACGTATAAAACGGGCCTTAATGACTACGATCGTTATTGTAACGAAAGAATAAGAATACTCTGTGTCTAACAAATAAATGAAGATGATTTACCCTATCACTTACAATTTGTTAAATAGTAGGAATACTATATATGTTTTAAAGCCAGACAATCAACCCGCCAGGCCATAGGCGTACCGGGCAGCCCCTCAGTTTTTTGGGCAGTCGGGCAATATTCGATCAACAGTCGGGCAATAATAGTCGCCAAAATAATTTTTCCGGAAAAAATTTTTTGTTACTAGTCGGGCAGAATCCCGAAAAGTCGGGCAATTTTCTTTCCGCCCCCCTAATTTTTTCATTCCGGTACGCCCATGCGCCAGGCTCTTATAAGTCTTAGTGCCCTAGACAGAATACTCGGCAAATATATTCAATTACTGTTTTGAAAACATTACCAGACAACAGGAATTAAGATCTGCTAAAAAATTTAAATATTCAGGATATATGACGATAACTGACGAATGTGACTGGTTTACCAATTGTGACGTGCTTCCGAGTATGACGTATACTGTAGTAAGGTTCAAAACAATCAGGCAATCAAGCGACACGATGACATAGTGGCTATCACACAAAAATGTAATGTCCCCCATAATCAATATTCATTGATTTATTTTTTATTTTTCAAACAATTCGCAAGCATTACAACTTCCGTAATTAAAACATTGTAAAAGCTTTTATTAATTTTATTTATTAAAAATAGTTTCAAAGGGAGCCTTTAAACCCTGTTGCCTTTTTGTTGTTCGAAGGAACTCCAGCTTCGTTTCATAACAAAATGTCTTGGTCTGAGATCGTAACAAAACTCAAAATCAGTAACTAGTAAGGTCAGGAACAAGGTGAAAAAGAATATTAGATATCAGACTTTGTCCTGGTTAATGAATAACGACTTCAGAGTAAATTCACCAGATGATAGCATCTGGAAATTTGTGGACGATGTCTTGATTTCTGAACACCTTACATCGAATACCGCTTCTATTACTCAATCGACCGTTAATTCTATTCATTTATTGGCTTCCAACAACCCTCAATCGACCTTTAATTCTATTCAATTATTGGCTTCCGACAACAAGATGATGACTTAAAAAGTGCAAGGAACTCTGAGTCTATTATCTCAAGAAAACGCGGAACTTGTACCCTTAATTGGAAACGGTGCGATCCCGTGAAGTAGGATTAACTATTCAAAACAACGACGAGCATATTTTGTCAATAGTGACTAAGGCATCCAAACGTTTACATGTACTCCGGGTTCTATGCCGTAGTGGCTGCTGACCTTATCAATATTCAATAGGTGCTGATAGGCTTAATTTTAGAATACCATTGCGACGGCGTACAGAAATGCGCTAACTTGCTACTTGTCCGATGAACTGGAAAAAGTGCAAAATCGAGACATGTAATAAAAACACTGACTACAACGGAACACCGCCAGAGCAACGGAATACCTCCGGAACAACTAAACAAAATCCAAAATGGCGGCAAATTATGAAGAGCAGTAAAACTAAAGTATTAGTTTGGTTTTTTTTTGTAAAAGCACGTAAAATGCCAAAGCTCTAACCCTTGAATACAAAGAGTATTTACTCATATTGATTTGGGGGCAAATAACGAAAAGTTTAGGAGATATATTCAAGTTTTTTTCTCCAAATGAAATTCAGAATGTTGGCCCCTGGGTGAGTAAATGTATGATTGTTTTGGTTTGTGTAATGTTTTGACGGCATTTGAAAGGTTATTTTGTGAGGATTTCAATGGTGTTTCTCGTCAAAGGGAGGCGTAAATACTCGCGAAAATATTCACATTAGAAACAATTGAATCCTAATACTGCACAGTAATTGCGAATATGACAGGATACATTTATTTGGAAGCGCAGTTAATTTTCACATTTGCTATTACATTTGCTATTAATTTTCACACGTGCTATTACAAACAAAAACCAAACTAACACTTACTATGTTACTTTATTAGGTCATATTATGTCTATTCATAATTTACCGCCATTTTGGATTTTGTTTAGTTATTCGGGTGGTATATTCCGTTGTTCCGGTGGTATATTCTGTTGTTCCGGTGGTATTCCAGAAGTCGGTGTTTAAAGCCTGGTTCACATTGATCGGCGATGTTCTACGATCCATTGTCTGTGAGCAACGAAGAAGAAAATGCACAAAACATTTTATGCATCAATGACCACCGACAATGGGCATCGCCGATGTTTACGATGAATGTGAACCAGGCTTTACTACATGCCCAAAAGCGAGCTATGCGCGCGGCGAAGCCAGCCCGACAATTTCGTCATGCTATGCAAATTTTAAATCATTATCAATATTCATTTCTTTAGAAACTGTCTTCACGGTGTATGAAGACGGAAATATTTGCATAGCTTGACCAAAGTGTCGGGCTGGCTTCGCCACTGGCTATGCGTGTTATCCTTCCTCATTCGTATGATAAAGCGCCGCAGTTAGATAGCTGCCCAAATTTGAACGACGGACAATTGTATGATCATGAAGATCTCTAATGGTACGAAAAAAAATTTTCTTTGTCTTGTGAGTTCTGGGTTGGACCTAATGACTTTAACACAAAGAAAATTTTCTTGTCCGTTCCAATCCACGAATAATTTTCCCGTATTACCCAGGATAGAAATTGCGCTCATCAGCACTATGTAATAATAATGTAATTAGGAATTCTAATAATTTGTCATTGTACAAGTGAAGAACAGAAAGCTTGCAATTGTTATGTATAATATTAAATTTGCTAAATTGCTAAGGGAATCTCATGGTAGATTAATTGAACCGTGAATACAAACTAATGGACCTTTATCCTTATAACTAAAATTTTGATCTAGACGAAAATTTCATCACAGCTTGAAAAAGCATCACAAAATTAGTAATATTCCAAAGTTTCGTTACGAAATGAAGTTTGCAATTTTCAGTCATTTTAGATTACAAACGGGAAATTGATACCCAAATCGGGTGTTTGGGTATCAATTTCCCGTTTGTAATCTAAAATGACTGAAAATTGCAAACTTCGCAAGGCTATATTATCCGCATTTTACAACATTTAGCAACGAAACTTCGGAATATTACTAATTTTGTGATGCTCTTTCAAGCTGTGATGAAATTTTTGTTTAGACTTATCTAGATCAAAATTTTAGTTATAAGGTTAAAGGTCCATTGAGCACGAAATTTATTTGTATTTACCAAAATTTTGGTGACAGAGAGAAATTATTATCGATATTGCATGCAAGTGCTTTTCATTACTTCGGTAGAGACAAAATTCTAAACCACAAATATATAGTATACATAGGAAAAACAATATCTTCCCTGTTAACTTAAGTGATTTTCTTTTCACAAGTAGAAATGAAGAAAATCCAAAACACACTGTCAAAAAAAATCTGTTGTTGCTTGGTTTTCGTGTGAAAGCACGCTTGCCCCATATCGCCCCGCATCACAAATCGATCAGTGAAGCTTCTGGCGTTGCACCGCCCTAAATATAAGACTACCCTAATTTACTGATAATGTTATATTTTTGCTCTTTGTTTCATTTCTGGCGTTTCAGCGCCATCATACACACCTACAAAAGAGGTTTTGATCATTTTACTGTCATTTCATCTTACTATATTAATTGCTGTTTACTTTTCCGCTTTTAGAGACATGGTAATATCAAAGATCATGTCTGTAGACGCCCATCAGCAATTGATTATGAAAGAATTTTGAGAATTCCACATGAACCTGGCGCTGACTGGAGAGATCTCCCTAATACGATCGTTCCGCTCCCCAATGGAAGGCATGCTGCGAAGCTGTAAGCATTTTGACAACATTTGTTATGTTTTAGTAACTTTACTTCTTTTCTGTTGTTTATAATAGGTGAAATCATTTCCCTTTAACCACAATTAATTATCCCACAATTTGTTTCTATTTCATTTGCATTTGGCGAACTATAACACCTCTTCAATTTAATGAATGAAACATAGAATTTAGTACAAAAACAACGACCCCTAGGATGAATGACTTATGGTGTTCTATTGTGCTGCACCTGTTGTCACCCTCAGTCCGCTAATGTATTCAAAATATTTGCGATATACATAGCCAAGCTATGCTTTGGTTCACGAAATACAAGCTATGCTTTGGTTCACGAAATACTAAGCAATGCTCAACATCATAACAATGGGGCAGATATGTAGTTCGTTCCACAACAGCCTGTTTCATCCGCAAGAAATTGTCAGGTGGAGTTTTTTATTGGGTAGGGGTAAAACGCGGAAACGGAACGGAACGGACCGGCGGAACCGGAAAAACGGAAACGGAAAAGAGGGTAAAACGTGGAAAAGAGGGTAAAACGCGGAAAAGAGGGTAAAACGCGGAAAAAAGGGTAAAACGCGGAAAAGAGGGTAAAACGCGGAAAAGAGGGTAAAACGCGGAAAAGGGGGTAAAACGCGGAAAAGGGGGTAAAACGCGGAAAAGAGGGTAAAACGCGGAAAAAAGTTTTAGAATAGTTTTTCTTTACGAGGTAGCCATGTAGCTTGGTAAAACTATATTTATTTAAAAATTTTACACACTAGTCCCTTCAACTATGATTTCCACGAACGGCGTGTGTTATGTCATCATAAGCTACATACGTTTACGATATTCTGATACTATTAACAACCCTGATAACTCAAATATTAACCTCAATTAACCTACATAACTACTGGGGTGTATAATAATAGTAAAAAGGGGGGCCCAACTTGCAGAGAGGGGTCCCTGGAATGCTGGAATTGTGGAACGTGGTAAATATTAAGGAATTTTCTGCAAAATTGAAGTAAAAAATGGTATGAATAACTACATTTAAGCCCCCATTTAAGCCCGAGATTGCACTGCGGATTGATTGTGTTTGCTTATTTAAAGATCTACTGAAACCAAAATCTGTGACTTTGCAGACAATTGCGCAATTAGCATAGATGCGCGCAAACGTATCTTTGTCTTTCTGGCAATAGTGCTGGTTGGAGACCAAAACGTTTTCAGGTTTTAAGTCTCTATGAGCGATACTGTGGTTGTGGAGGTAATCGAGTGCGTTTACCATATCCCTAATACATACGACAAGAACATCGGCGAACGATTTGAAATCAAATTCATGGTCAATGAAGTGATAGAACTCTCCAATATTGGTGACGCTTTTCTCAATTCCGAAGGGTTGAAAATCAAACATTACATATTCCATCATTAATGAATATGGGTTTTCTGTAAATCCTAAAAACCCAGGTATACTTTCGTGTTTCATTTCAAAAAGCAACTTTGCTTCCTTAAGAAATCGGTCTTTGGCAATTGACGATTCGCCTTTAAGCTTTTTAACAACAACTGTCTCCTTGTCATAAATTGCGCGGTGTATAGGTCCATAGCTACCACTGCCAATTTCCTCCACGTTTCTTAATGAATTCCAGCTAAATGTTGGCAAACCATGATCGATTCGTTTTTTCTTGGAACTTTAAAGCTTCCCAGTTTCGACATTTTAGTTGGCAATTAGGCACGAGCACGCGCCCGACTTTTTTATTCAGGATTCAAACCATGAATTTCGTTCGTTTAGACTTTAGACACTTACACAATATATAGTTAACATCGGCGAGAACTTTGAAGTGTCGTAAAGAGAAGAAACGCTTCAAGTATCAGTTAAACTAGTCCTTTCGTTAACTGTGATTGTCAAAAGTATAGTGATAAATGAAATAACATTACCCTGTCGGTTATATGACACCATAACTTGTATTTAATTAAGTGAGTCAGCGTGTTCCCCAACGACTAGTAAGGTTATTTGAAAGCAAATTTTTCATGATATTTACCATTTTACCTTTCAAAACATAACATTTTGTCACTAAATACGTCACGTTTTGCACTTTTTGCGCGTGTAAACATACAATTTTTTTACGGATTTTTAAATAAGATTTGCGCGCTGCAGGCAAGTTTTCTTTGCACAAACAACATGTTTCCGGGTTATTTAAATATCTAACAATTTGATGAATTCGGTCGTTGAAATGGTGTACACAGTTCCTTAGATTTGTGAAACATGTCGTCTTTCACTGTAAATTTCAAGGAGTTGAAACAACTCTAAAAGAGTTCTTCTGTCATCGTTTTTGGTGACAGAATAAAACACTCGGCGGAGTTAATTCAACTCCTCGAAATTTAAAGTGTATGCAAAGAAAACTTGTATTGACAGCGTGCTAATCGTTATGTATTTAGTGCCAAAATGTTATGTTTTTAAATATATGTATCATGAAAATTTTTGCAGACTCAACGCTTGCATAGATAATACAGTATAGACTATTTCTATAAAGCGACTCAGCCTATGGGCTGTGGCAAGGTGTTCGCACTGAAAGCGATTAGCCACTTACTGCGCAGGTGGTATTCTACTATTCTTTGTCAAACCGCAAGTATTTTTCTCAAATTATCCGGTTCCGTTGGCGTCAAGTCGGCATTTCTTAAATAACAGACTTGAGCAGTTGAGGGAATTATAACTGACCCGCTATACTTATCCAGTAATGGCGAAACAAATACGGCCCCTATTACCCACGATGTCAGATTCACTTTTCATATGGAGGGGGGGGGGGGCGGTGGATTCTGGCCTTTACACTATCAACGTTTTTGTGCTCACTGCATGCAGTATGCTTTTATTAACGAAGTTTGCACCAGTAACACCCTTCAAAAACACAAATTAAATTTAAAAGTATTTAAGTCACAGGTTTGCTTGGGCGAGATGACGCCACTTTGATCCGCAGTAACTTTGATGGTGTAAACCGGCTTTTACATAGTAAGTGTATGATTATTAGTCGGTGGGCATATGATGTAAGACGTCATTGGGTGAAGAAACGTTTTGATGTACAAAATTCTTAATGAACAGTCCGCTCCAAGTCTTAGAGAAAAATTTATAATAATTAAAGATCTTAATAGAGAATATAATCTTCGAAGTAATGATAGTGATCTAGCACTTCCAAAACCTAAAACAAACTATCTTAAACGAAGTTTTAAGTATAGTGGAAGAGTCTTCCTTCTGAGGCGAAAAAGGCATCTTTGCTTTACAAAAGTAAACGCAGTATATCCACTATACTCAGTGGTGCCTAAATTACTTTGAATTTGTACTCGAGTAAAAGTAGAAGTAATTAACAATAAAACGACTTGAATAAGAGTGAAAAGGACTGGAAGCAAAACGTACTTAAGTAAAAGTACAAAGTATCCTTAAAAATACTTGAAGTAAAAAGTAAAAGTACTAATCTACTATTGTCTTTGGCGTGTAAGGGGGGGGACTACTCCTATGGATTGACATACAAAACAACATACGCATTATATAAATATATGCGTGCACCTAATATACAATATTTCTCGGCATGATCTACTCTCCAGATCCCGTTGAAGATATAAGAAATCCATCCAGAGGAATGTAGAGGTCCTATTACCTACCCCAAAATTAAAATAAATCCTGAATACATCACGTAAAATTAAACAAAAGTTAGACAGTAACAAAATACTTCGCAAGATGATGAAAATAACTATAAGTAAAACGTTACTTCTTTAATTAAACGACTTCGTTCCAAGTACAAGTGGAGTTTACTTTGTCACATGCCGACTTCTCAAAAATAGAACTCAAGTACAGCAATGAGGTACATTTACTTCGTTTTATAATGGTATTTAATTAGATTAAATTTGATTTTGTTAGTATAGGTAATCATGCGATGGCGAGTACAATTAGGGATTAATAACTATTAATCCCTAATTGTACGAGCAACATCGCATGATTACTTGTTTATTATTAGCATGACAACATTGCATGATACGTAATCTCAATGTCAACATCATATTCTCTCGCCAAAGCCCAGTCCTGCCAGACTTTCAACCAAAATTTGGTGCTTTTGTTTGTATTTTCATTTAGTTATTTTGTTCAAGAAAAATTTGGTGCTTTTGCTCGTATTTTCATCTAGTTCCTCCACGGCAATTTCATTTCACATTTGTGTTTAAAATGCCTTTCCGCCATTTTGTTTGTTTTGGGAAAATCATTAATTGTACTGCAGTACAATTAATGAAATAATTGTACTCCTCTCAACCAATCAACATCCAGTA